ACTTTAAGTTGCTCCTGAGACTAGCCTGCCACATCAAACGGAACGTCCGGGCGCGGTGATAAGGGAAAAGCCAGGAGAGGAGGAAAATGCCACGAAGCACAGCACGGGTGGTTCCTGTTTGTGAGGCAGCACCACGGTGAGGGCGGACATGTGCGTGAGCTGCTCTGGAACCTTCTCTCTGAGGGAGCTGCTTCCCAGCCATACCAGGATAACCTACTAGAATGGAATGCCATTGCTCACTCTTGTTTTGTGACAACACGCCTCGTGGTTGCTTAGGACAGGGCAAGTGGAGGTAGCTCGGACACCTTGCTGTTTCTGAAGTCCCTTAACTCCACCCCACCATTCACTCAAAGGTCCACATGCGCCATCACTCTCCACAGGCATTCTCCTGCTCTACGGGTGCTTCTGATCATTTTGACGTCTATCAGCAGGAAGCCAGGGGTGGAAGTTAAAGACCAAGGGCTTAACCAAGATTCCAGCTGGTGATAAGATTTTAAATATGCCCTCGGTGGGCCCTCTAGGAATAGACGACCTCCTTCACTTCAGAAAGTGGCACTCTGAGAGCCATGGGTGTCGGTAAAGCTGTGCTCCCGCTTGTCTGACAAGTATTGGAAAGTAGCTGTGCAGTCGGGATTAAGAATGAGCCAGTGGTGGTACGGTGATAGAATTCTCACCTTCCATGTAAGATACCTGGGCTCAATCTCCAGCCAATGTACTTGATGAGAGCTCATTACCCTTTTGTCAGTGGAGGGTTCTGTGTTGCCGAGGTGCTAAACAGGTTTCAGCACAGCTTCCTGACTAAGAGAGGCTAGGAAGAAAGACCTGGTGAGGAACGTCCACAAGTCAGTCAATGAAAATCCTAAGGCTCACGATGGTCTGATCCACAAGCACCCATGGGGATGGTGCAGGACCAGGGAGCAGTTCATTCTACTGGCTGACTGACTCTACAGCAGGTAATAACAACATTTTAGAATCCTCTTAGGAAAGATCTTACAAAGTCATAAGATCAGTAATGCAGTAAATCTATACCGTGTCCTCAAAGATTCCCCGTGGTATAATGAAAGAGCACTGGACTTGGAATAGACAGTCCATGAGCTCAAGGCCAAGCTGTATGAAGTTGGGCCTATCAACTCATTAATCAATGAGCCATTTGCACCACAGCTCTCAATGAAGAGAATGATACCTCCCTCTCAGTATGTTCATATGATTAAATAACTGTAAGTTGTTCTTATTACTGTCTACAAGGTCAGTTGCTGCCCGGGTTCATGCTTTTAAAATGACGGGCGTCTTAGAAGTTGGCTTTTGGCTTGAACTGACCACTTCAGAAGGGTGTCACCAGTACCTCCTCCTCCAATCCTTCCACATTCAATCGAGAGTTGCTGAGGGACTAAATGGTGTGAAGCTCCCTGCACTAAGGATGACAGAGTCTTGACTGAAAATTGTCCAAGCCTCTTCCTTCAAGCTCTATCTCATCTCTTTATCACCGTCACCCTACTCTCTTCTTAAAGACGGTGGTGTACCACAGAAAGCCCGCCCACCCTCTGTTCACCCTGCCTCCTTTTAAATTCCCAATTCTGACTCTCAGAGAGGTCCAGGAAAACAAGGCCCAGCATGGGCAGACATGAGCCCTGGTATTCAACACTGAAGGGCTGTTCTGGAGAGAAGGGGTCCAAATCCGTTGGGACAGTTCCAAATGCCATAGCTGACTGATGGCTGGACTGTGGGGAGGCTCCCGGTCTGCATGTGGAACATGTCTCTAACAGGGGCTGCTAGCCAGCGATGGGGCAAGCTACTGGAACAGGGAGCTCCCTCATCAAAACAAAAGAAAATCTCAATCAGAACGTCTCCCGTACTGCTGCCTGGCTGATCCTCCCGCAACATACAGTTCTTTTACTCACCACTTCCGGAAGGCTTTCTGTGCACTGGACACTACGTATACAAGACGGAATGCAATGCACTCCGCCTTCAAGGGCTCAGGTTGGGGAAAAAGATACATAGCGGGGTGCATGTAAAACAATACGGTAAGTCGGTCAGCACGTAAATAGAGATGGACCTAACTCAGGAGGTGGAGTTAACTGTGAGGGGGTGGGGAATCCTTTCTCGGCAGAGTTTTATAGGTTATAGAACGGAATGTGGAGAAAGAAGTGAAGGGCAAGATGGGGCATTCGGAACATGAGGGCTCAGGATAAAAAAAGAAACAGAAATGACAGACAGGCCATTGGGTAATATTAGAGCAGAATATGTGGGGGTGGGGAGGAGTAAGTGACAGGGCTGGAGCTGCAGGCAGGAGCCATTCCTCAGAGGGCTGTGGTTTGAACTTTGCCCTGGCGATGTGTTTCTATGATACTTGCTGTCAGAGCTTTTTTCAAAGAGAAATTCCGGGATAGTCACAAACCTGCCAAATAGGGCCTTAGGAGTCCTAGTAAGTGTCAATCTAGCCCTACCTGACTCAAGCTCACCTGAAGGCAAACACCAACTCACCTTTAATCTCCAGTCCCACCCCTCTTCTCCACCTCTTGATAACACCCACTTCATGCAAAGGTAATGTGGGCCCCAAGTGACTCAGCATCACATCCTGCTCTGAAGCATCCAAAAGTTCACACGGGGACCTGAGCGTCTTCCTGCAGTAGGGACATGGGCTCTGGGGAGTCAGGTTTGCTGCAGTGCACTTACAACACACCCACATTTGGCAACTCCATCTACTGCTTTCTTCTCACCCTTCTAGTTCCTTCTAGTTCCTGACTGAGTCGACCTGAAGCACCCCGCTTCGCTCAGCCAAGGTGACCATCCTGGCTGGAGCTTTTGGCTTCCTGTTGTACTTTTCTGAACTGTGATACCAGTCAGGTCTCAAGCTGCCATTGAAAGGACCTCCATCCTATCTTTTGGCCCGTTCCTCCTTATTCCATTGAGGCATCAGGGTCCACAAAGCCTGTATGACGAGGTTCAATTTCTTCCCAGCCAAGTCATGTCCCTTAGGGCTCCTTCAGGATCTGCCTCTTTAAGCCTTCCTTGACTACGTCTTCATACCGGACCCCTCCCTTCCATTATTCCCGTTCATTCTGAACACTTGGGTAGACCGCAGTCTATTCCCTTCCACTACTTTCTGATTCACTGACACTAGATTAGCTGTTCCAACCACCCCCCAAGCACTGATCCCTACACTTGCCATGCGTTTCTCACTCACTATAGTCTTTCTGCTTTAAATGGCCCCCTTGGGCTTGTCTTCCTCCTCCTGTGCTTGACCTCATCCTTCCAGCCACAGCACAGATTCCCCTAACCTGACAGTTTGCCCTGTCCTTTCAAAGACTGGTTAATATATTAGGGCTTTGTTTACTTCTATTAAATTGTTCTGACTTTTATGTTTATGTGTCAGCAGCTGGTACTTAGTGCCAGACACCTCTCGGAGCTTTACGTGTAACAGTGCATTTGACCCTCACAACCCCCCTATGATGGCTCTCCAAGGGAACCTGGTCCAAATTTACAACTGGTCCACAGAGGAACTGGGATTGGAACCCAGGCAACCAGATTCTCATCAGACACTACATCTCTAGGACAAGTCCCACCTGCTGACCCTGGAGTTCTGGAGCCGCACTCGATTCTCACGAAACCTGGCACACAGCAAGCGATTACTAACTGTGCTCAGCATATCATCGAAAGCTGTTTGGCGTATCTTCTTCCCATGTCTTTTTCATGGGTACGTTCTGTCTCCCTGAGGAGTTAATGAAAGCCTCAAGGCAAAAGGAGCTGGTCCTGTCGCTTGGCTTCACAGAGAATAATGAGCTGGGGGACAGTCTGAGAGTCCTAGGGGTGTACTTAGGGACCAACTAACTTCAGATTAAAATACCGCTTACCTTTCGATAATCTACCACGGTATGATCTCACCCCTGATCTCATGGGCCCTCACGTCAACAAGTGAGGGAGGGCAATTGGAGGGGGAGACAGGGAAGGAAGCTGAAGGGAGAATTGCTTGAGATCTAGACAAGATCTCAGAGCTAGAAATAGCTGAGCGCAGTTAAGAACCCTGTAGTCTCCAGTTTACCAAAGTAGTAGGGGCCAGGCTGCAGCCATTAGGCGTGGATGGTGCTGAGGAGGCTGGCTACTCCCCCAGCTAGGGTGACCTAGGTTGCAGGGCCAGGGGTCTCTGGCTAGTGATAGGAGAGGGTGCTTGGCTGGGTGTCCCGGAGTGGAGTCGAGGCACAGAAAGATGCAGGCAGGTTGGGTGGGGGTGGGGTGGGGTGCTCAACTGTCTGACCAAACCAGGCAGGACAGAACACCGGGGAGGGGACATGTTTTCTAAGAGGTCTGATAATATAGATATGCAGAATCAGGAAAAACTGGTCTGTCTTTCCCATGCGACCGAGGCAGTCCATGATCCCTTACTATTTGTAACGATCTGGTTAAATTTTTTTTTTAATCGATACCTTTATTTATCGCCCTAACTCGGATTTACCACATGATTGGTGTGGAAGGGACGACTTGTTTTTTTTTTCCTTCTTTTTCTGTCTAGAAGGGACAGTAACCCATCTTCGAAAGACCTGCCCCATCTCACCATTTGGGCTCTTCACGCCCCCACCCCAGCCCCGAGCCTCCACCTCCGCCTGTGTAAAATGAGAATGCGTCCTGGTGGCCAAAACCTGCGCCACGCCCGCGGACGCCCAGCCTCCGCTTTCTGCAGGATGCACTCGCCTCCCGGTTTCTGTCTCGCCACGCAGGAACCGAGCGCGGCGCTGCAGAGGACCGCGGCGGGCACGGAGCGAGAGGCACCCGCCGGGCGACCCCCCACCCAGCCCACCCCTCGGCGGCTCCGGAACGCCCAATCGCGGCTTTGACCGGGGAGTGCCGAAGGCGCTTCCTCCGGGGGTGCGGCCGGGTGGATCCGAAACCGCGGGTTCCGGACCGAAGTCACCCGAGCCTTGGGGGTGGCCTTTCCGGGCCCTGCCCTCGGGGAGATGCCGGGCGCTCGAGGGCGGAGAGCCCTGCGGCCGGGACCACCCGCTTACCTGCGGCTCCACCAGCCCGCGCTCCGGCTCGCCGCCGGCCCCGGGGCGCGCGGCGCGGAACGCCGAGTACACGGGGGTGCGGTGCTGGGTGCTGTACAGCGTGGCGAAGTGCGCGGCGCCCGCGGAGCGCTGGCACAGCTTCACGTGGGCCTCGGCCGCCGGCAGCGCGGGGGGCGTCTCGGCGTAGAAGAACTTGTCACATTCGCCAAAGCCGGCCTCCTCCTCGCGCACGACCCGGCCTTCCAGGAGCCCGGCCATGGCCACCAGGCTGCCCAGCGCGAGCCAGCGCGCGCTGCCCATGGCGGCCTCTGCGCGCACCGCGGGGCCGAGCGGCGGGGAACGGGGTCCGCCGGGCCGGGCCGGGCTGGGGGGGGAAGTGGAGCCCGGGTGCGGCGCGGCGCGGCGCGGGGAGAGCGCGGCTGGGCGGCCCGGCGGCGAGGGCGGGTCCGCGGCCCGAGACCGCGCCTCCGTCCCTCCTCCTTGAAGATGGCTGCAGAGGCCCGCGGCTGGGGCTTGGGGAGGCCGACGACGTCCCCGGCGTGGCACTGGGGCCTGGAGACGCAAGTCACCTGCCGCCGCGGCGCCTTTTCCCTGCAGTCCGCGGGCATGCGGGCTTCCACTAGTTCAAGGGCGGGGCGGGGCTGGGGGGCGGGGGAGGACACGAGAGACGCCTCCTGGTCAGGCGTGCCCCTAGAGCCCTCAAGGTTGCCAAGCTAAGGTGGAGATGCACACGGAGCTGTGCTTTGGGGAACGAGTGAGGGCCAGATGCTCTCTGAAACCCTGATGGAAATTATTATTCTATTTCCCCCGGTTCAAAGTATGACCGCCTCCACACTTAAAAGACTTTGATGCGGCTTTAGTGGGTGAGAAACACTAAGGCCAAGGAAAAAAGTTAGGAAATTCCGAGCCTAGGCACACAACACACCTCTGCCAAGAAGGGAAGGAGGTGAGTTGGATGGTTCAATCCTTCCCTCACCTGTCAATCAATCAACAGCGCCAGCCTGGGAGAGGCCCTGGGTACTGTAGTAGACAGGATGGTTGCCATCAAAACTCTGGCGCCTTAAGGCTTACATGAACTGGATACTCACTGCCATCGAGTCGATGCCAGCTTGTAGCCACCCTATAGGGCAGGGTAGAACTGCCCTTGTGCATTTCCGAGGCTGTAACTCTACTGGAGTAGAAAGCCTCATCTGTCTCCTGTGGAGCGGCTGTTGGTTTCCAACCGTTGACCTTGTGGATTGCAGCTGAACGCATTAATCACTATGCCACCATGGCTCAGCATCCTCTTAGAAGTAATTTTTTTTTAAGCTGCAGGTAGATTTTACCTGTAAGGGGGTCCAAGATAGAGCCCCAGAAGGCATGCTTGGAAAAAGTGGTACATGAGTTGGGACCTAGAGGACAGTCTAGTGGTCAGTACCTAGGCAGAGAGGAAAACAGCCTGTGCCAACAGGAACATGGTATATGGAAGGAATGTGAGGGAAGGGAATTGAGGGAAGGGTATGAGAAATGGGGCCAACAAAGGAAGCAGGGTATTGTAGGCCGATGGCCTTCTTTGACCAGAAGGATCATGATATTTTTTCAGTTTCATGAGATGATACTTACTGATTACAACTCACATTGCAATCTGGTATCGCTATTCTGTGTCACCTCTTAAACGTACCTGTGGTGGCTCAAGAGAAAAATTGTTTCTATGATCCACTAATGTCCAGTGTTTTAGAAAGCAGTATGATGGATCATGGTGAGGATTTTTTTTATCTTTCATTTGTGACAGTATGGGTGAATTGGGGTGACCCAAACGAAATGGTGAAAAAACCTTTTGAATGGTGAAAAACCTTTGCACAGTCCTGGTAAGAGATATCGGTAGCTGGGTCTAAGGCACCCTGGTAGAGATAGAAGCAGAGCCACCTACTCTGGGCCAGGTGCCTTTATGTAGCATATTGTTTAATTTCCTGATGTGCCACATGGAATACGGAGAGCCAGAGCATCAAAGGGCTTGCCCAGGCTGGCATAGCCAGATTTAAACCAGGTCTGTCTGCTTCTCAAGCCTGGTCTTTCCTCTTACTCACAACAGATCAGAGTCTGTAAAAAACAATAAAGCAAACTCACTGCCATCAAGTCGATGCCAACTCATGGTGACCTTATAGGACAGGGTAGACCTGCCCCTGTGGATTCCCAAGACTGAAACTCTTTATGAGGCTCATCTTTCTCTCAAGGGGAGACTGGTGGTTTCGAACTGCTGCCCTTGCAGTTAACAGCTCAATGCATAACCACTATGCCACCAGGGTTCTTGAGGCTATAAAGTAGATGGAGAATTTTTACAGGAACAAACCTTGGATATCAAGACCAAATCCCTCACAGGTCAATGGCTTAAAGAGTTGAATAGATTTGGTTCCTGAAATGAAATCTTAATTTGTATCTTAATAATAATAATAACAACAGTAATAATAATAAGGTCATATTTAGTGTGCTGTCACAGAGGGGCTAGGCATAGAGGCCCCTTAAACCTGAGGTTACTTAGTTAACTCTGATTACCTAGTCTCAGTACCTTGACCAAGACATCTTACCCTGGTACATCTTGATCATGGGGTTGATGCTCTCCCGGATGTTCAAAGGAATTGGTGTTCCCCAATGTCAGCTTATGGTGTCAATTATAAGAATTATACAAACGTAATTAAATAGCTTGGACTTAATCTCTTCCTTTCCTGTTTCCTTTGTACACATATCTATTATGGTACTTGTCACGTTAGGCTATTATTGAGGCCTGGGCCTCAATTATCTAGTAGTTTATAAACTCCCTGGAGGCAAGGGTGCAGTTGTTTTATTTATGAATCTCCAATGGCTGCCAATGAGTCGAGCATGGTGGGTAATGAATGTAAAATAGGATGATTTTGTTATGCATGTTTTAAAAAATGCCAAGAACAGAGCAAAACAAATTTCCCTCCTTAACGCTGAAATTAACTGTAGGATTTTTATTTTACTGGCGCTCTACATTTCTTCAACCTTGTCCCTAATCCCCAGTGGCAAATTTTAGTTTTTCCCTAACCCTCGGTCAGTCAGTGACATTCATACACAGAACATTTGCAAACCCACAGCTAAAATACTTTTTCTATTGTATAACCTTTTTAATAGTGCAAAACAATTGCACTTCTTTCTACAGGCTTGCCTTCAAGAAATGAAATTATAATATTAAGCATGCTTTTGCAAATTACAAAGCCCCTCCCCCAAGATTCAGGATCACATGACAGGGTGGGCGTACCTCGATCTAATTTAAGTGTGTTCCAATATTCATCCCGGAAGAAGGCTGCCAGTAGCGGGATCTTTATGTGCACAGTCTGTCCGTAATTCACTCCTCTCTCCCCATTAGACCACCGCTAGTCCCTGGTGGTTTCCATGGACTCTTCTCACAGTGAGAAGGCTCCGCCTTCCATACCAGACCCTCTGGGGCCTCTGTGCTCACCCGCATGCCAGTCTCACATTTGGCAAAGACTTCCAGTAATGCCTGGAAGGGAAAGGTAGGGGCTGAGGTGCGATAAAATGGCACCTGACTTGCTGCTTTCCTCTCTGAGCTTTGCCATCATCAGTGACTCCTCTTCCTGGCCTGAAGCCCTTGCCACTCACTTCCACCCCTTCAGCTCTTTCTTTCTTACCTTCCTTCCTTTCTACAAAGCAACGTAAGCATCACTTTTGTCACTTGTCTTCCCCACAAGCATGGCTGGGGCCTTCATCCCTACACCCAAATACATATGCATAGAAGAGGTTAAGTTTGGGTGCCATCGGTCGGCTCCATAGGGACACTTTGAACAACAGGAAGAGACACTGCGCAGTCGGGCGCCATCTCTACAGCGATCCCCGTGCTCGAGCCCATTATGGCAGCCACAGTGTCAAACCAGCTCATTGAGCACCATCCTCGTTTTCGCTGCCCTTGTTTCTGTTCGTGTCATACTGTGGTGGCTTATGTGCTGCTGGGATCCTGGAAGTTATGTCACAGGTATTTCAAATGCCAACAGAATCACCCAAAGTGGACAGTTTTCAGCAGAGCTTCCAGACTAAGAACAGACAACGATAAGGACCCGGCTCCCCACTCTGGATGAAAGAGCCGCTGAAAACCATACGCCTCGCTTTGGCGAGGTTAAGGGCCCCTTCTAATGATGCCTGTTACACCTACTATTTCCTTCGTACCATAATTACTACTGTCCTGTCCTCAGTTAGACGTAAATATAGCAATTGGTAAAGAGGAAGCCTTCAATAGAGTGAGTGAAGGAAGAAAAAGGAGGGGGGGAGAGAGAATGCCTTTCTTCATTTGGATTCTCATGACTCTAATGATTTTCCTTCAAGATGCTTTTACGTATTTACCGATGGCCAGTGATTACAGTAGATTTGGGGTATTAAAAAGTCCCTGTTCATATGACATTGTATTAGTCTAGGTACTTTGGAGAAACAAATCCACAGCAACTCGTGTATAAGAGAGAGTTTTATGTAAAGAAAATGTGCATCACGAAAACATCCCAACCCAATGCTGCTCAAGCCCACAAGTCCAACATTAACCCATTTACCCAACACCAGTCCACAAAGTCCTCCACCTCACAAAACAGAGGCAATGATGCCGACTGCAGGAGGAAAGCTGAGTCAGTGAACGAACAAGCATCTCAGCACTAGCAGGGGTCTCCACACGGCTGCTCCAGCACCCAGGGCTGCATCAGGATAGGTCCATGTAGCTTCTCCTTGGGGATGTCTTGTAGGAAGTCAATCTTGCAAGCTGAAGCAGGGAACTGCTAAGGCAGCTGCACGCGGTGCAACCATCACAAAACAAGAGACCAGAGAACTAGAAAGGCGAGGCTCACCACCCATTTATCCCTCCGCCTTTCAATTAGCCCCACATGTGATTATTGGCCAGGCTGGCACAATTAACTAACTCAGACATCATGCCAGGGCCTCTTGGTGCCACATGGGTAACCACATGAGAAAGCCTTTGGTTCTCCACCTACGTCTCCTGCTAACCGATCTTCTGCACGCTGCTTTGGCTTAGACCAGGGCAGGACAAGACAGGGGGCCTTCATCCAGCCATGATTTCCAGAACCCCATGCTGGGGCCAGCTCCACGCGAGGGCAAGGTGGACAGAGTCCTTTGCTCCGGGAAACCTGAAGGGTTGTGGGTAAGACAGGCAGACATGCTATTACAATCCGGTGCGAGAAGGGCACTGATAGGGGAGTGAATTTGTGCTGTGTGGGCAAAGAAGGACCACATGAACTAATCTGGGGGAAAGAATCTCTAGAATGACAATAGTTGTTGTGGTTGCTATT